CTCCTGTACAAGTCTGTCAGCTATTGCGTTACCGTCGAATTTCTCATGTGTCAATTTCCAAGAGAGGTTATACTTTATTTATACTACTTCCCTACAGTTTTTTCGAATAAGCTTTGCCTATCTAGTTCCTAGTATACATATAAGTATAACGACTGATAATTCCGAGTGTAAGGCCTCTAAACTGATTATGCTTGATTAAACAAATTTAATAAAATTATAAAAAAGTTACACTGCAGTCATCTGAAAATTTTTCTTAAAAACTTCTAAAAATTACACTTTAAAAAAATTTTTTTTTGTTATTGTTCATTTTGTTGTTATTTTTGTTATTGCATTTATATTGTTTATGTGACAAAAAAAAAATTGCACGAAAATATTATTTGCATTTATTTTTATGGCGTAAAAGTGCGGAAATTGCTTTTGTACTTTGTGAACGCACCAACTTCTTCTCCTCGAGTCGGCTTCAATGAATTTGTGGAGAATTCATTTACCATGAAATATATTTTAAGGTGTGTTTAGCGTTGCCAGTTATTTGAATTTTTCAACTTTTGCCATTTCGTGTTTGTTTGTTGCCATTTTTTGCTATTATTGTTCACTTTTTTTATTTTATTACTTGCATTTGTGTCGGCAGCTAAGTGAAATTCATTGACATTGTTCAAGGATAATATCAGTCATTCGACGTAACATCGCTGTCGTTTTGTAGGCTTGTTAACACTTAAGTCACTTGTGAATTTTTATAGATGCAGTAAAAATAATGAGTTCACTTTCTTCATATTAAAAACCCATTTTGTTTCTTGTAAAAATGATATTTTAGTATTGTTAAATTCATTCCTTATATTCTATTCATGGATAAATGTAAATTAGTTCGAAAAGCTTTATTCATGTTTATATCTCTATGAGTATTAAAGAATACTAAAGAAATAAAAAAAATAATTATAATATATATTCTACGTGTAACTTTTAAGATTTTAAAACATTTATACAGTACATGGTTTTATTGTATATTCATTATACAATATAATTTGACAGCCGATATAATCGGGTTTACTTATGAAAAATTCGATTTATTATGTTGAAGCTATTTGACCCAATGCAATTGAGCACTCTTATTCTTTCTTAACTCGAGGTATTTTTAAAACCCCTCTTTACGCCTTGACTGGATTATTGTTTATCACTTCATCAGACTAAGCAATAATTGAACTCAAATCTGCATACCTCCCCGAGGAGCCTGTAACCATTCTGAGATTTGATAACGCGGTGTTGGTAAGTCTGTCAGTTTTCGCAAATAATTTCAGGGCTCTATTCTTTATGTATATTTTTAAGGGATTTATTCCATACAGAAGTCTTTGAATGGTGCTCTTTCGAATATGGAAACCAAAAACAGCATTTTTGTATATATTGAACTTTTTTTCCATTGAAATGGAAAAAATGAATAAATGCGTTTGAGGCAAAAAAAAATTATTCGTTGTTTATGGAGATGATCTATTGACATAACGCCAGTATCAGAACTTTGCACAGATTCCTTTCTGCAATTTTGATATTAAATATCTGGATTAAAACTGTTAAAGATATTAATTAATACCCCGGATAATAACTCGTGAGATCACTGAAAGTTTAAGTTGATCGAATTCAACCATTCATGATAATTTGAAACGTATAGACTTAATCTCAAAATTCGACATATAGGTTCTTTATGGTCTTATAGAAAGAAATTTCTGCTGTCTCGTTTATGTTTATTATTTAATTCCTAAATATTACGGCAATGATCCATTTTTAAAACTCATCAATGGAAACAAGAAATGGGTTATATCCAACAATATTAAACGCAAGGGATAATAGAGTAAAAAAGATAAATCGACTCAAATCATATCGAAAGTCAATATTTATTGAAAAAGATTGTGATGTTGTTTGTTTCAAAGAAATAGCGTTTTTGTTTTGAACTTTTACCGGACAATTTTGAAGTAAACTGTCATTAGCTGAGCACATTGAATAATTCAATTAAACAAAAAAGGTCAGAATTATTTAATAGATAAGCCATACTGTACCACTGAGATAAAGCAAGACTCCATACAAGTTTGGTAACTCGCCAAAAACTTTTACAAAATTATAATTTTAGCATATAAAAAAATTTAGTCCCCATATTTTATTATATGCTAAAGTAGGTAGGTATATTTTAAACTAATTTTTGTGGTATTGGAGTGTTCATCTACAATTTTTTGAAGAGCAATTCTATTCCCTCTACATTCGACTATCCTATTTCATTCTTTCATTCTTCTTTAAATGTCTATTCAAATCTTTTAGCATTTACCTTCGACACTTGAAGATTTGCCTGTTATGCATCTAAACGGATCTATAGGGTTTCGACTATCCTATTTCATTCTTCTATATGTGTTCCATATTTGCTGACTTCTCTAAATGTCTATTCAAGTTTTTTAGCATTCACCTTCGTCACTTGACGATTTGCCTGTTATGCATCTAAACTGATCTATAGGGTTCATTTCTGTTGCATATGAATATAACCTCGTCATTGTTTATTATGAATTTATATTTTCCAAATTATCTCACAGCAATTACACGAATTTAACTACGAAATTAATTCAAATTAAGATTTTATATATTTATATTTATATAGTTCATTAATGTATTTATAATATTTTTTGTATTACGTCAACTTTTTGTATTGTATATATTATAAATATTGGAATAAACTTTTTAAAGAACGATATAAACTTCTTAAAGTAACCATATTACAATATGAATCCTTTAGTACAATATTATTGCATTGACTTTATTATTTCAATGCAAATGCAACCGCATACCACAAAAACATAAAGTAAAAAAAAAATATTGAAATGACTTAACCGAAATAAAATTTGCATATAAAGTATAAGCAAAAAAATTAAAATATCCGAGTATTATATTACACTTGTAAAAATATGTGGAAGTAATAATTCCAATTCAATAACCGCGGCATATGTTTTTTCCTGAATTTACCGACATTTTTGGAAAAAAAAAACAAACACCTGTTTAGGGTTAAATGGTATTTTATGAATTCATTTGCATAAATTTGCAAGTTTAAAGTAGATAAGATAAATTTGCTTTTCTCTAAATGTTACATTACTTTTTTATTTAATATTAACTGCGAAACTTTGTTTTGAATAAAGTTTAATACTAAGTAACTGACACATCACTTATGACTAATATATATGTTATTAAACATAGTTCCTTAAATATTTAAATATTTTGCTTTTTCTTCGCAATACGATTTAATTAATAAATAATGAATGAATAATGGTATATAATTATTCTTAAAACCCTTATTTAATAAAAGTGATCAAATTAAAGATTGTAAATATTCTTATTACTAAGTGGTATAATTTTTCTAATATCCCCTCCACACTTTTTTGTGATAAACATCTTACTCAATGTTATGTGACAAAACAAAATCCTTATATCTATAAAGTTTTAGTAATTTACTTTTAAAGAATAGTTCACAACTCATATTTCGCATTATTTACATAAATTAATTTTGTGGGTTAAAAAAAAATCCTTGTTTAATATAATATTTCCATATGCAATGTATTATTAATAATGTAGCCGTTTCTACTAAAGAAAAAGTAGAGGTACACATAGATCTGCGATCCGTTCTAATATCACTGGGGAATTTATCTAACTTCCTCAAGTACCACTGGTTACCCATCTACTTTCAATAACGAAACTTTATGTTATATTAATAAAACTGTGTCAGCTGTGCTAACTCTTGAAATCAGAAAAAAAAATATAAACCATTAGTATAACGAAACCTTTAGGTTATATTAAGTAGACTCTGTCCAGCTCTGCTAACTCTTGAAATCTGAAAAAATATGTATAAAAAAAATTACAAAGGATTAGAACTTCTCAGTATCATAACAAAGCTGAATTGTGTCTTTCATATCAGTATGACTCCTGACAATTTCTATAGAAGACATTTGTATTATTCATTCTCTTTGTTTTTTTTTTGATCCTCAACTTAACTAAAAGGCACAATAGAAAAAATAAAAGTAAAGTACCATAAGAAATGAGAAAAAAAATTATTGTGTCAGTAGTCAACAATATTATATTTCACTCATTTCCCAATAACTTTTATTAGAGTCGCTTTTGTTATTTTATTATTATTAGAGTCTCTTATTTTGTACATCCACAAAAGGGACCATGGCCAATAACGGATATGTTTTTATCAATATTTGCAGTTTAATTAGCTATTCTATTACTCTTCTCCCTTTCATGTTTTGGGTTCGATCCTTATAGTACAATGTACGTTAGAGAAGTATTGAGAAGGTTTGGGCAATAATCATTGATATGACTGATAAAAGGGTTTTAAATGTCTTTTTATGAACACATTTGATCATAAAATAATTGTGACGTTAGATTTGTAAATTTCTATAATAATCCGATTGATGTATAACCATATAAAATGTTGAAATGCAGCTCTGTCTTCGATTTGTGAAGTTTGTTCAATTAAAGAAATTTTTATGCGTTAGATTTATTTCTTTACCCTTAAATGCATAATAATATTATTACCATACATACGCAAAACTGTTAGTATGTTCATTCGTAAAGCAATCGTCAAATGGACTTTGAATTCAATTATATATATACTTTCCTGCTCATTCACATCATTATAAATTAAACATTTCAAGTACGTGAGCCAAGTAAACGATGCTATAAAATAACTTGAAATCAAGAATTCATTGCACAGTTTAGCGCTTCACAGTCATTTTCACATAAGATACAGAACGTGAAGGCTAAATGTGTACTTGCAGAATTTAAAGTGTCTTAACATAAAATAAATAAAATTCTTTATGGACAAGTACTTGCACATGAAGTAGAAGTATGTCCACCCACGAAGATTTTTATGGAAACGTAAAAGAGCATGCAAATTGCATAAATATGAAGACTTGTTGCTCCACGCCTACTTTTCTATTAAAATAATTTCAATTTTTTTTTTTAAATGTGAAACAAAGTCGAAGTTCCCAGTTATGAAATTAGGCAGACACACAGAATCAGCAGCTTAAATATTAAATTAAAGCTGTTCTCACAATTTTCGACAAACTTGACACCTGAAATTAAGAAATAAAAATTATTAAAAAAAAAATAAAAATCATTATAAAAAATTTTTTTGTATTGAATTTATAACGAAAATATATATGTAGTTGAGATGTTGTTTCAACTGCAATCTGCAAAGAATGCATTGCTTTCTCTCAAAGTAGTTTCTTTTGTATGACTGCACCCAAGCGACCACAACTTCGAAACCTTAAACCTGTCGAAGGTATGTTAAAACAAAGCTAACTTCAGAGGCTTGAAAATCATAAATCATAAACTTAATAATGCATGCTGCCTTTCTGCATGTTTGTTAAGAAAATAAATAAATAAAAATGTTTTAAATTAAAAAAAAAATATGTATATAAATTGAGAAATTTAAAATGTTCGCATCGTGTTTTGTTTGAAATTTATTTTACTTCGCAAAAACATGGAACCACTCTTAGAATCTGCAGTGCAATTGGTCACATCAAGCGGAATTAAAGTTAGTCATGCAACTAAGCGCAAAAAACAAATTTAAATTTTTTATGGAATTATTATATCGATTTAAAAGTTCTTCTTAAAAGGTTAAGGTGTGTAGCATTTATCCTATTGGCAAATATAAAATATTATAAAAATGTTATATAAAAGTCATACATCCCATATACTTTTTTTTAGTGCTTTCCCGAAAGTATAATATGATTCATTATATATTCGTCTACATATATGATTATGAGCAAGAAATGCCTTTACTTTAAAAATACTGAATACAGGTATATAGAAAGAATATCTCAGATGAAAGCATCGTAATAGATGATAGTACTCATTTTCACACCATCTGTAAAGGTATAAAAAATGGACAGCAGATTAGCAATTTCTCTTCTATAGCATCGTAACCAGCGGTGGGTTGAAGTTATTTTAACGAATTCTCTCATCACCGACCCACACAGTGTTTTGACTAAACAGTTTCGGATCTTAATCTAACTTTAGACATAATAACATCACTCATCGGTTTTTAATTTTTAATGTTTAATAATGCTAGATGAACTAGATAACTACAGCAAAATGCTACATTTAAAAATTATCACTCGTAACGTGAACAAAATATCTCGAAATGGTCAAATCTACTATTCTTATACGCAACACTATATAAAATATTTTGAAACTATTATTACACGGAACTTGAAATGAAATATAATCTAGAAGTGTTTAAATATAATATATATATGCATATATTATATATTATATACGCAACTGAACCGATGCCCAGTGTTCTGCGGCTTAAACTGAAAACTTTTTTTTTTATGGCGGTAGGCGAAAAAACACCTATTAAGAATGAATGAAGAAAAATTTATTCCATCACCCCCGTCCTGAAGTGCAATGTTCACCCTAAACCAGAAGGCATAGACGTGATATAGGATATGGAAGGTAGGTAATGAAGAAAGAGTGGTGGACTAAAGGGAAGAGTTTATAATAACACTGTCACACGTAATAGTTTTCACACAAGTTCCTCGAGCATTTTACGTAAGATTCTCAGGTCATTCTCAGTCATTTGGAAATTGGATCTGAATCGCCACAACATTTTCAATTTTATTAAACTAACAGAGTCACAATTCACACTGAACCAAACTTTTCTTATAATTATAACAATTTATTATCATTTTGAAGGATCTAATGTTTCAATTTCATGGTTTCGGATGTTCATATAATTGAAGACATTTTCAGTCATATCTACCCAGCGATATACTTCCATTTACTTCCGATATGTAGGTCCGATATGTAGTTCTTTAAAGCATTATAATCATATGCATAACGTGTCCAAGCTATATGAGACGTTGTGATTTAAAAAAACTTTTTCGCCGTAATACAGTTTTCAACGATAGGTTTATTGCTGAAAAGCTTGTTAAGTGCAGCGAACGATTCTTCAGACGTTGGTCCTCTAAAGTTGTTTTCGGTTCTGAAAATAAGACTTAACTGAACGGAACTCTCCATTGCAATAATTGAATGACTAATGCAGGTTCAACGATAGACCGTGAAATTGTAGAAATATTAATTAAATAAACTAAAAAGAATTGTTTCCGAAGTATGACATTATTAATTTAAAAAAAAAATAGCAGTGTATAAGATATATTTATATACTTACTATATATACAAAATTTATTGATTTCTTTGGATGTTGAAATTTGCGTCGCATGGTAGAGTAAATATAGTAATTTAAAACAATTACACCAAATATATCTTAATTATAAATGCGCATAAAAGGCATATTTTAAATTTGTTTCTTTTACTTGTAAGTTTTGAATTTGGTAACATCTAAACAAGCAGCACATTTTTTGGCATTCCTGCGACCCTGAAGTGTGAGAGCAGCCTTAGAAGACGTGCTAGATTGATTAGCTGTTGTATCACTATTAATATTGTTCTGGTGAACTCTTGATTTGTTAGCAATGCTAGAACTTCTATTAATCCCATATTGGCTATTAGATATAAAATTTTCATTTTCTGCTCCATTATTCATAGCAATAATACTGGATGTATTGTCTGACGTATCGCTATCGGAATTATTTTTCCGATATTTCTGAGCACTGTTCTTGATTCTTCTAATATTTTTAGATTTTATGACAGCAGAAGAATAATATTTCATAAGTTTTCTATATTGACTATTTGATACATATGTTTTTTTGTTCTCTGTACCACTGCTCGGAGTAGACATGTTGCATTGTCTTCGTGAAATACCGCTATTAAATTTATTCTTTGCAGATCTCCGTTTACGTTTTTTAGTATCATTAATACCCTCTGTATAATCATTATCCAAAGGAAAATTCAATGCATTCTCTTTTCCAAAGTCCAGAGTTGATGTATCAGATTCGTTATGTGAGATATCGTTATCGAAATCATCCTTCTCAAAGTTTTGGGTAGAAACTGCAAATTGTCTAGTTGGCTTCAAATTATATTTCCATTTGTTTCTTGGCTTGGCTTTCTTATGATTTGAGTTTATACGCAGTGGTGTCGTACGATTGTGTTTTATATGCTGTGAGTTCATACAATTTGATGCGATATTAGATACACTTGCTGTCTCATATAAATTGCTTGCTAACTCATTGTTATTTTCAGCATGTTCATTTGATACTTGGCTAGGGCGAGAATTTAATTGATTGTTTAAACTACTATCGTTGATATTGGAGAGACAAATTAATTCCAACTGACTAAGTAGAGTCTTTATATCAACATTACAGACGGGGATAGGTTCGTTCTGTTCACCTACTTCAGTTTGTCTTTTACTGTTTTTACGTTTTGTTTTAATAGGTCTGGATACGGAACGATAAAGTTTCTTAGATGTCTTCTTTTGAATAGATCCATTTTTCGCATTATTTTTTAATTTTGGATTAATCACTGATAAGCGACTTAAAGGTAAGTTCAATTGACTAGGTGGTAATTTTGTTTCATCATTACCGTGGGAGTGGATACTAAGTTTCGTTATACCAAAAGTTTCATTGCTGGCATCAGATGATTTTAAACTGATATTAGGTGCACTCGCTGTCACTCTAATGGTATTACCAAAAGACTGTAACCAATTTTGTTTCTGCTGCGCCAAATTAATGAAAAGCTTTCGCTCTCGATATGACATTGAATTCCAGTTCTCCACTGCGAATTGTCGCAAAATGAATTCATGATTAGAATTACTCGCCAAAACGACGGATTGTTTTTCAGATAGACGTGAAGCTATTACACGATTATCTGTCAATTTAAGCTCACCTTTAAGATATTTTCGTGATATTCTTTTATATTCATTTAAATAATTCACAAATGGATTAATGCTAATCAAATCAATTTTTCCTTTACGTATTATATCGCGCCATATAGTGCTTGAAGTAAATCTTATCCTTCTGCTATTGGAACGCCTTGATTTTGCCGAATAATATCTAAATAGTTTTCTCATTTTATTGAAAAATCCAAAACAAATACTTCTTCCTAATGGCATGTTGTCTAATTATCTTAATTTCGGATTTCGAAAAAATTCTAAATTGGTAAAATATACAACACGTTCAAGAAAATAAAATAAAATGATTTTATGAATTTTTGAATTTATGATATTGGATTTTTGAAAACTCATAGATAACATGATAATTTTATAAAGATTAAAAGGTTCTTATATCATTAATAATTTTCTAAGAGTTACATTATGCAAATAAAACGGTACGATAGGCTGTAAAATATCGAAACTAATATGGTCAAGCTACACTTATTCGAAAATTAAAATTCTGCTGGGTGAAACCCAAGTCGAAGTCAGTGGACACCCATGCAGAAAAATTTGATATTTCCTACAGCTAGACATGTAAAAGTTGCAAGGAGGAAAAGGGAGAAAACAACTAAACATTTTTTTGTGACTGTCCAGCCTTGATCTGGGCCAGGAAGGGGTCACTTGGAAGAGAACTACTTTCCCGTTCTGACATTAGGAGGTCCTCAACGGCTGCCATTCTGGCTTTCATTCGAAAGGCGGAATGTCTTCTGTTCGGTTAGGGTCTGTGCCTAGTTCTTTTTATTCTATTCTATTATATCTTTATAAGTATAATATTAATATTACTTTATAAATGATGTTAACGATTTTTTACATAACTTTTATTTAAGTTATTATATTATTAAATATAATAACTTTCGAGTACAGTCAAATCGGTAATTTGTTTCCGGTTAAATAAGACCAATACTTGTAGCGCAAATACACTTTTTCCCCAAAATGAATTCAGAGTAATAAATTATTAATAAAAATTAATGCAACAATTAACATGTAAATAAAATTGCTTTAAATTCGAATCCGAATTACGTCTCACACTTTTATGATTTCTTGAAACAATTTTACTTCAGCACAATTTCTCTTTTATGGCGACAGTTTAATCTTTAAGAAACTTAAACTGGATACACTTTTCTCTGCCACAATTTGCATCTGCATAAACACGGTTAGTAGCGCAGTTTCTTTGCGAATTTATGGGTCTATAAGTAGTTTCAAATATCATAAACTATACGTTGTCATGTATACAATTTACTCCAATGGATTTAAGTGCTGAATTTTATGAACGTAAACAGATATGAATATTTAATAATATAAATTATGATTTTATGGCGTTAAAAGCAGAAAGTGAAGCTGAATTTATTGCTCTTTTAAAATGTCTGCTCTTGAGTTTTAGTTATAGTAATTAAATTGAAATTATGTTAAGTGAGTAATCAGGAAATTATGTAGAGTTGATTTTGAAATTATTATATTTTTATAAAATTGTGTCATTAAATAATGACAAAAAAAAATTACTATGAACATACGAGTATTTTGAAACATTTATTAAGCAAAACTAGAACTCTGTGAAGATATCTGTTCCGTCAAATTTTAATGGTTTTACTATTTGCATTTTGAAATCATTGACCAACCCCCATATTTTTCAGAACTGGTCATCAGTGAAAAATTTTTATTTCCAAATTAGAAAATTTATGTGAAACTACGAAAAATTTTTGTGAATTGAAGAGATAATATCAACCGTAAGAGGATATTTATAAGATCTTGATAAATTTCATATCTTGGAAGTTCATAAGATCTTGAAGTTTAAAAGGTATTACGGTATTACTTTCTTCACTCTTCATGTTTACCTTTCAAACATTCTTCATATAGTTTATTTAGCGAATTCTAATAATAATATTTAATATTTTTGCCTTTATAATATATACATAATTATTTCTGTTACTTTTTAGCGATCGTTGTCACTTCAAAAAGTACGTTCAAACTGGAATATAATCAACTCAGATTTTTATTATAATTTTGTATCTATATACTTGTATCTAGTAATATCAGTAATAGGTTAGATTAGCTTGGAATAGCGACCTTGTGCCATAAGCACACTTGTGCTCAAATACTGACCCGTTGTGATACCCTAGCTTAGTGTTGTTTATACGCAAAGTAGAAGAATTTCAAAACGACTGGAAGTGGTCAGTAAGTGAGTTAGTTAGAGTAAACTAACTTAGTAAGTCTATAAGTTTATAAGTTTGACCAAGTCCTTAATTTTGCAGAATTACAGCTCTGGCAGGTCGGTTGGATAAGGGGTCCTACGGATTTTGAGCCTTCCCTTAGCTATTAATTCTCTTTCTTATTCGCAAAGTCATAACCCTAGGGTAGTTCCAGTCTTATAGCATGTCTTTCTGGTATGCAGTGCCGTATCAGCACCTTTAAATATTAGGAATACTATAACAATCATTGTTATAGTAGTTATGAAACAATTTTTATATTTATATTTATTTTTTATATTTAATTTAATAATAATTACCTGTAATAATGTTATAGAACATAATATCTAAATATAGAAGGAACTTCTATATATAACTTATAACGATTATTTATACTTAAACTATTATAGTGCAATACTCATTGACTAATGTATTACAATATAAAATGTATTACAATATTAACTGCAGTAAAATGAAATTGAAACCAAGGCTTGTATCTAATAATCCAATAATACGAAAAATGTGTGTTTGCAAATATAGGCAAATGCTTAGACATTTCATGATTTATAGCTAGCAGGTTCCTGTAATGAAGATTCTTAATAATGAAGTGGTTAAAGTGCCGCTACATGTCAAGCCAAAGGTTTGTTCAAAGGTCAATTATAAATTTATGATTGCTTATATGAAATGTGAATTAAATTGCACTGTTTCCATATTTATAAGTACACGATTATATTCATCACGCATATTTATGATTGTAAACTAAAGGTAAACTCTTGTTAAGTATCCACAAAGAGACGACAACATGAGCTCAACTTGTTCGTACAACTTTGGCGGCATCTTTTGTACACCAAAATTATACTGAACACCATTATTAAAATTTTTTTTGAAATATTTTTAAATGAAAAAGCACTTGATGTTATAATAATGAGCACGATAATCATTTTTCAATTACTTTTTAAAAATATACACAAAACTGTTACTTTTTCACAAGCATCTTTTCACATACGTCGAATATAGATAAGCGAGTTCATAGTGTACTCATACATAATGTTCAAATGTGGAGTGAAGTGCACTCTACCAATTTGAAATCATTGAGCTTCATTTACTAAACCAAAGTGCAAATATAATGAATACTTTGCAGCATTCACGCATCTGTAAAAGGTCGGCGGTGGTTATTGTATTTCGCTTATTTGTTAGCTTCATTGTAGTTTAATGCATAGCATAATCTTCATTATGTCGATTATCGACACTAATCATATGAGTTCATTGTGTTTATGACAGGAATCAGTATGTTTAATGAGCATATTGAGCGTTTAAATGCTTGTACACATTAACTTTTCGGCCGGTACTTGTCCGCGGATGTACTTCAGTTGGTGAGTCAATTCGATGTGCATGTTCAGCTCGTTAATTACAAAATGTGCGTATTTAATGCATGTGATTTCATACCATCAGCCATTTGCAAGTCTGCATTAAAAACTGCGTAAATACGCAATTATTAAACACTTTGGCAGCTTGTGTTTTGTTGTCATTGCATGAAAGGCTGGAATCACTTCCACTTGTCTGGTAATCGAGTATGCGTTCGTCGAGAGAAAGGCTTGTCAATAGGTATTTAAATATAAAGTAAATGTTGAAGAATCTGCGTAATGTTAATTATATATCTGCATACGCTTGAATAATTACGTTTACACCACAAGTAATTATATATTAAACATTTTGTAGTCATACAAAATATTGTTGCCTTAAAGTAATTATTAACTTCAATGTAAATCTGTGTATATTCTTAGCGATTATAAAAGAAATCATAAATGCAATTCAATAATTATATGGTTTTATTTAATAACAGTAATATGCAGATGCAATTTTGTTGGAACCATTTAATACAGATAAATATTAATATTTAAATGTCGCCATTTTATCTTATAAATTATAATCTGTATTTTTACTAATACTGCTCTTTATATTATACCTAAGAAAAAAAATGTCCTAGTCTCAATACGCGTACTAACTTATTCTGGTATTTAATTTGTTCTATATATTCTGTAATTATATATTGTTAATTTCTAAAGGTTCATTACGTTGCTAATAAACTCATCCATTTAATTTCTCATATATATTTCTTTACATTTTTAATCACTACTTTTTGCATAAAGTTATTTTGTTATATTATATATTTTGATTGTTATTAACCGAATCTTTTCAAACGTTAATTACGTTGTTTGTTCATCAATTACATTTTATTCTATGTGTTCTCTATACACTATATCTAGTGAAAAAGATAGTATTAATTAAAACATAATTTAGTTAAAATAACGTTAGATCCTATAAATTACTAAATTAATAAATTTATATATTACTTAAAAATTACGTTTTGTTCTTGTAAATAGTTTGAAATACTTTTTCAAAGTAAGAGAGCATTTTTACACTAACTCAGAATAATTCAACAAAAATAAACTATCAATAAACTAAACTATAAACAATAAACAATAAACTATCGGATTTTTTTTAATTGCATGAGAACTTAAAATGATAATACAAGACAGAAATATTGTTAGAATAGATAATTTCATGTTTTTTCATTTTTGAATATGATTGCTGGTATATATCCTCCGCGGCTTCGATCAGTTCAATTTTTGACTATTTTTTACAATAAATGTGACCGTATTATGGCACCATTCTTCCAATGCTTCAAGAGTTGCTGGTCTGTCGCCATACCAATGACAACAAAACCCCATAAAAAGTAATTGAGAAACGATAAATAGCACAAACGAAGGTGTCAGTTAACAGCACCATTTCTGAAAAAAAAATTGTTGCCAAATTACAAAATTGATTTCGCAAATAAATCGATTGTTAAGTGCGCTGTATGGTAAGTCGCGTTGTCTTGCGTCTTATTAGAACCAAATGCCGTCGATATTTAACAGCTTCATTTTTGGAAAAAAATACAGTAAGCATTGCTCGATAGCACTCTCCATTTACTGTAACGGCGGCTTCTTCCTTATTTCGAAAAAAAGAACCGATGATACCACCAGCGTGAAAACCGCACCAAACGGTCAAAAT